ACGTGGGGCTCGATCTCAGGACCCTGGGATCATGACCTGAGCCGAAGGCAGATGCCTAACGACTGAGCCACCCAGGCGCCCCAGACGCAGAATTTTTTTAAAAAGAATTTGAATTCCAGAAATATTTATGGTTAAGATAACATCTCCAAGTGTCAAAGGAAGGTTCATTTGCAACCCATGTGTTTCGTAGGAGGAGTAAGAGCATTAATTGGAGGGTAAAGCTAGGGATCCAGGAAAGAAAGAGATAATGCCTGAGTTTCTAGCTTCAAAGCTACACAGCATGGCTGGTAGGAGCTGGGTGTGGGAGAGACTGGTTGAAATGTCATGGATGGAGATGCAGAGGAAGAGCAGAGGTGGGACCATAAAGCTGGAGACACATGCATGACCATCGGTGGATGGGGTCCTGGTGAGTTGGAGGGATTTCCCTCCCAAGGACAGTGTCAGACTCTTAGCAGCCACAGGTAATATCAGTCTAGTTTTTTTGTAGGTTAATTTTCCAGAAGGCAATGATGATGACATTCTTGGTTTTATCTCCTAAGGTGAACCAACTCAGATAAAAAAAAAAAAATGCATCTTAGTTAAAAATGGTTTGCTTCATTCTAAAAGCCATATAAATTCACTGTAGGGAAATTAGGAGGGAGAGAGAGCAACAAAAATAAAGAAAAATAAAAAAACACAGTCTCTCCTAGGTCCCTTCTAGCAACAGAATTCTTTCTATGACAGGCTCTGAATGAAGTCCAGCAAGCAAAATGGAGCCAGGAAAGAGTGAAATTTTATGATTCTTCTTCAGGTTAACTGGAAGTGGCATTTACATCCTTCATTTATGGAATTTCTAAGCATAGGTGACTCGATACATTTTACCATCCAAAAGTGTCTGACATTCACAAGGAAGGGGAGGGTGAGGTTAGGCTATATTATATATCAATAAATTTTACATTAGCATATCTTATCCAAGAGAAAAATTTTCTTTGTGACATACGAGTGCATGATAGTCTCCTTTGAAACATTCATTATACTTTAAATTATTGCCACGTCTAACTGAAATTCAATTAACGTTCTTCCTTCCATTGTTTCCAAAGAGCTGTTTTTCTCTGTGTGTTTTGTACATAACTCTGAAGTGACACAAATGGAAAATCTAGTTAACACATTACGAGACGAGCTACGGTGTTCAAAGCAATGAACTCAAATCAACTTAAAAACCCTTCGACAGGGGCGCCTGGGTGGCTCAGATGGTTAAGCATCTGCCTTCGGCTCAGGTCATGATCCTAGAGTCCTGGGATCGAGTCCCACATCGGGCTCCTTGCTCCTTGGGAGCCTGCTTCTCCCTCTGCCTCTCTCTCTCTCTGTCTCTCATGAATAAATAAATAAAATCTTTAAAAAAAAAAAACAAAAAAAACCCTTCGACGGCTGAGTAAGATTAAAACACAGAGTTACAAAAGCAGAGCATCATATTAACCATTAACAGTGTGAGGAGTCCATTTCCCACCTGACTGAGTGCCAGGGGCAATGAGAGCAGGCAGGTGAGCGAATGACGGGGAGCCACAGGATAAGTGGCTAACAGGGCTTTACTACCCCGCCCGCCACGTCTCCCTTCCTTTTGCAAGGCACACACTGCCTCCCAGCTGCGCCCAGATTTCCACACTGAGAATCAAGGAAAGTAGACCCGGAAGAGGCAAAAACCTAATTGCACGGCCGGCCCAGTTTGCCCCACCCCTGCCTTCTCCCCTCCGTCACTGATAGTTTAATTAACAAAGGTTCTGTCAAAGCCACGGAACTGGGGATAGGACAGGTAGGAGCAAGGTGTGAAAAGCAGCCCAGAGAAATTCCGGTGTGGTGTGGGAAGAATCTTTGGAGGCCAAAAAAATAAAAATAAAAAAATAAAAAAATAAAAAAAGTTAGAAATGAGAAAGCACAAGAATTCCTTAAGCTAGAAGGTTCCACACTGTCTCAAGAGGACAGAGAAAGGAGAACTATTACGCAAAGAAAGGTAAGAAACTCAGCTTCACAGCTGGGCTGTGATAAAACAGGAGCTTGCGGTTTCTCCTCCTTCATAGATACAGGGGAAGAGCGAGGCCTTGAGTAGGACAGGATCATAAGCACCCCCCCGCCCCCCCCCCCCAGCCTCGGTGGTAGGTGCGAGCGATCAGGCCA